GCACACCATTGTACAAACAGAATAAAAACTAAACGCATGGTATAAGAAAAACAGAGATCTGTTCTCCTTTTTCACGAAATTGTTTACCCGACGGTGACGACGATGAGAAGCTTGGACAATGTAGGGCTGTCACGGAAAGCTCTGGATGCTCTTTTAATAAAAGTAATAATAATGTGGAAATGAGTGAATTTTGAAAATATTTATTTTATTATTTTTAGATTGCCATGTTACAAATTTAATGGTGAACTTTTAAAGTTGACCGCAACGTAAGAAAAAGTTAACGGAGTTGGATGGAGAGTGACCAAACGTGAACGATTTCAGTAAACTGAAGTACCAACAATGGATTTAAATATTTCGAGTGACCAAATTTAAACGTTTTTTTGTAATCTCAATGACCAACCATGCAGTTAACCCGCTGATTTATATTCTACTTTTGAGTATTATATAATCACCTTTATAAGGCATGGAAATGAGTCGGATACAGGGCGGGTGCCCCATATCCATTTCCCGCCCTTTATGCCCGCGGGTAAAACCCGTATCCGGCCCGTTAGGCTTCATGGGCAAAAAAATTGGAGCAAGCACATGACCAAGCGGGTTTCCGTGAACCCGCGGGTCTAGGGATGGCAATGGGTCGGGTTTTGCCAAACCCAAACCCATGGGTTTATTGGTGAAAAAAACCCGGGGTAAAAACCCACTGGGTTTGAAAAACTCAAGCTCAACCCAACCCGTTGGGTATCCGGCTATCTGCGGGTTCATGGGTACCCACGTGTTTTTGTCGTAAAAAATTTACAATAACAAGTTCCTATCAAAATTAAAGTCAAATATCAATCTCTCAATACAAATTATCCATATATAAAACACCATTCTAGAAAATTCAAGCAAATCACAAATTAACTATACAAATTGTTCAACGCCAATCTAGAAAACACAAGACAATTGAAGCAAATCACAAATTATCAATAAATAACATGATTAATTGAAAGCTTCTTTCTCCTTGTCAATTAAGTTTTTTCACTCTCCACTCAATAACATCAACTTCATTCTACACAATTAGAAAGAAAAAATTAGACATGTCTCCACAAACATAAATAAGATTAGATGTTTAGAATATTAAATATACCGAGAAAATTAATTATATGGGTGTGGGCGGGTACCCATGGGGCGGGTTTACCTAAACCCAAATCCAACCCAACCAGGTGAATAGTGAATGGGTTTAAACCCAAACCCGACCCAAAACCCATCAACACAGGTTTTACCCGCGTTGACCGGGTTGGGTCGGGTGGGTACCCGTGGGGTCGGGTTTTGTTGCCATCCCTACGCGGGTCATTGGTTACCCGTTACCTGCCTAGAAACATCACTCAACCTATCAACCAAGTTCCTCAAACATGACTAAGAATGATTTTAATTACTGAAAATGAAGTCAGTATAACATTCAACAAATAACCATGAATTGCCAACAAATAACCACGAACAAGTCAGTTAACAAACTTCAGAAATGTCATTGCAAGTCTGCAACAATGAAACACAGAAAACAAAAACAGAAGCCATTCTAAACAGCAACAATAGTGTTGAATCTTCACCCCTAAGTCTCTCTTTCTCGTCCTTGCATCTTCTTTCGAGATTAAGAGTTCCTGAAATCCAACAACATTTACAACTTCATATTACTATGTTCTGCAAGGCTTTAATAAAATTCCAGCAATAGCAAGGCTTTAGCAGTAAAAAAAGAAACATAACACACACCAATAGCTAGTCCAGCAGGTTGATGACTGCAGCAACCTCGTCTTCATCTCCTTCCAGCTCCTTTGGCATTCCAGCTCCATCTGATACATAACATTCTGTTTAGTAAAATTCCAAGCCAAACTGAATAAAAAATTACACAAGTACAGTCAGTTACATGTGCTCTCTTCCACCGTGGCATCATCCATTGCCATAGTAGAGAAAACTCCCTCCGATGCTTTCAATTCAGCGGCAGACTAGGAGAAATAGCAAGATTCAAGTAAACAGTATAATTGCAAGAAAATGAAACAATAGCAAAGTAAACATAATTCAGAATGGAAATAAAAAAAGTCACCTTTGCTATCATCCTGAATCCAAGTCCTTAATATCATCATGGCTTCTACTGTTGCAGGATCAAGTCTGCTCCGATGGGGATCAAGAAGCCTCCCACCAGAACTTTGAAGAGAGGGTTCAAGGTGCAACAAAACCTTTTGAAATAAAGGTGGTCGACAATAGAAAGGGGATACTTATGCACCAAGATCATGGTACAGAGCTCCTTTCTATACACCTCAGTACTAAACTGATTCGTACTCAGATCAGTTGTTCCCTTGGCACTATAGTCAGCACCAAGGACCTTTTGACTACCATCGTGAATTTTTTTATGAACACAACGGTTCCTATGAGTCCTAAGATGGGAAGTACCATTACTCGATTTTCCAGCCAAAATCTTCTTACAATAGTTGTGTTTTGCTTTCAAAATCCAATAATTAACAGTCTGGCGAAGTGAGGCCACACATCAGACTTTAGGGGTCGTTTGGATGAGGAATTGTAATGGATCAATTTGACACAATTGTCTCGTTTTGAGACAATTGTACCAAATTGCCTCGTTTTCCAGCAAAAATTTTGGATGGATCAATCTGCCTGAGGTATTTTGAATTGATCCATTTTGAGTCAATTTCAATTACCTGGGGCGGGGGCAGGTAATTTGAATTGACTCGTTTTAATTGTCTCATTTATAAAACGAGACAATTGATCAAATTGAGTCATTTCTAGATTGATCCATCCAAACGACCCCTTAAGCACCTATTAGCATCTAAGAGATTTTGGGGAACAACATCTTCAAGAAGGTTTTTAGAATTATCAGGAGGAGGAAGTACTTGTTCTCCATTGTTCTTCTGAACTAATGCAGTCACAATTTGTTCACGTTCCATCTGATTAAAAGAAAGACAAAATAGAAATGTTAAAAAGGATTCCAGTAATGTTCACGAAATCAGAGTTCAACGATTGGATATTAGGTAATAAGGACAATGATTAACCACTTTTCTATTCTGCAATGATGATTGAATCCTCTAAAAAAGGGGATCATCAGCACTACAAAAGATTATGGTTAATCAGTAGGATTCCCAAAAATGATAAAGTTTTAGTTGGGATTTGGCTGCATTAGATAATTTACAGTTTACAAATTTTTAGGATTAGCAAAAACAACTCCAAGTAGTGAACATTAGCATTTTAACATTTCGAACTTAGCTACAAGAACAAACATAGAACTTAGCTATCAACCATTACCATTACACAGACTTCTTACACAACCATGAACCATTACACAGACTTCTTAAACGAGGAATTCAAATATTCCAACATCAGAATCACACTAAGCATTACCATTTAGCAGAATGACTCTGATCAGTAGACACAACACACTAGTATAGTACTATGTTTGATTTAAGGTGATTACCCTATGAATTCACTAAATTAGGGTAAAAACATTACACAATAAACATCAACAAACAAGAACAATCAAACAAAGGATCATCGATTTACCTCAGCAATAGGTAGTTGAAGCACCACTTGCTTGGTGAGACTCACGAACAAAAATCTGCAAAAACAAAAGACACATTTTGGATGCTTAACGATTTAGTGTTTCTGACGAACTAAGCAAGCACAAACAACAAACAATTGAACTAACTAAGGTCTACCAAACTTACTGAGAATGCAAGAAAGGGGGATTTTGATTTCTGGAAAGCTAAGGTTTCGAGATTTAGGGCTCGTTTTTAGTTCACCTTTCCCTCACCTCCCAATTCCATCTCCCCATCTCCCCTTCCATGCCGATCCGCCTCCCTCTAACCCAATACTCCCCAAAAATAATAATCATCCTACGTCTCTCTCTCTCACTCCTAATACCCAGAGACCTTCTCGAATAAGCTCGATCGAAACCTTCCATCTCCCTGCTGCGACCCTCTCGAGTAAGCTTAGCCGAGAAAGGTGAACTAACAATGAGGAACAGCGACGCAGATCGCCACAGAGAAGACAAAGAGCCTGTGACGAGAGGGGCTGGAGTCTTTTATCGTGGTGGGCGACTAGATACGATTGCCAACCAGAATGGAGAATAGGGATTTTGGAAATAAAAACCTTGTAAGTAAAGTACCAACGGTCGGATCAAAATCGACCGGTATTTCACCGGAGTTCGGTTCGACCATAAATACCGGGCGGCACGAGAATTTCTCCTCGCAGCACATACCGTTCCGGATAGAGATGGCAATGGGTCGGGTTTGCCAAACCCATGAGTTTATCCCATGAAAAAAACTCGGGGTAAAACCCAATGGATTTGAAAAACTCAAACCCAACCCAACTTGGTGGGTATCCACGGTTTTTGCCTAAAAAATTTACAATAACAAGTTCCTATCAAAATTAAAGTCAAATATCAATCTCTCCATACAAATTATCCATATATAAAACACCATTCTAGAAAATTCAAGCAAATCACAAATTAACTATACAAATTGTTCAACACCAATCTAGAAAACTCAAGAAAATTGAAGCAAATCACAAATTATCCATAAATAACATGATTAATTGAAAGCTTCTTCCTTTCAATTAAGTTTCTTCACTCTCCACTCGATGACATCAACTTCATTCTACACAATTAGAAAGAAAAAATTAGACGTGTCTCCACAAACATAAATAAGATTAGTTGTTTAGAATATTAAATATACCGAGAAAATTAATTATATGGGTATGGGTGGGTACCCATGGGCATTGTTTACCTAAACCCAAACCCAACCAAACCCGATGAATAGTGAACGGGTTTAAATCCAAACCCGGCCCAAAACCCATCAACACGGATTTTACCCGCGTTGGCCGGATTGGATCTGTGGGTACCTTTGGGTTCGGGTTTTGTTGCCATCTCTAGTTCCGGATCTGGTCCAGTTTCCGGTCGGACCATCCGGTCCGGTATCTTGGTCTAGAATCCTTCCTATATATATAGGAATTTTAGAAAATTTATAAAAAATTGTCCTTAGAGAAAGCCTCTCAATTTTCGTAGTTTCCTTCCAGTACCTCCGTTGATCCTTGACACGATAACACAATCCAACCCCACCTTAATCAACCTTGGTGATTAACGACAAAGGATTCACCTTTTAGTTTATTCCTCTTCTGGGCTAGGCTTAAAACTTGTCTTTTTTAGCGGTCCGGCAGCCGGCGGGGGGTAATTCAGGCGGGTGGTGTTTCAGGTGCGAGCTTGGGTGCTTCAACTCAGTTCCGGAACGCCCACCGAGTTCCCGGTCCACAGCTATGGAGGCGTATAAGAATTGGGTGCGGAGGAATAGAGAGTACGTTAACTCGTTGGAGTCTCTCGCCAATGTAAGCAAGCGACCCCCAATTTCCCCTTTCCCTCACAATTCTTCTCTTTTTTCCTTTCTTGTTTGTGCTTCCAAATCCCTGCATGAATACTTGGTCTGGATTCGCTTTGTTTTGCCATTGCCAATTCTAACTTGGGAGAAGGAAACGTCCTGACTTGTATACTGGATTTGATTGGTTTTCTGGGAATCCATTCTTTAAGCAAAATGTCGGGCAAGAGTTTATGTCGAACAAGCCTGCTCTGACTGCAATTTTTGCAGCTATCCCCTCTGCTTACTTAGTCAATATGGAAACGAGTTTTCCCATTTATGCTTCCTGTTTGTTTCAATCGGTTACATTAGTCTACTTGTTTTGGTTAAAGAATGTAACAAGGTGTACATTTACTTGTCAAACACAAGAAAGCATGCTGATTTCTTTGTTTGTGAATGAATTTGTACATGGAGCAAAACTATAACCTAGCTTCTGCTTCTCACTAATTTAGTTACAGTAACTCTGTTTCTGCAATATACTTCAGTAATGATTTGTCTTATGCAATGTTGGATCTGTATTACAGGGAGTGACGTGGCTTCTACCTGAAAGGTTTTCTCAGTCAGAAATTGGACCAGAAGCAGGTTTTGTCAAACTTTTTGTTAACATTAGGTGTTACTTTGTTTTTGTTCCCATTGGTGTTTACTTCTTTGAAGTAATCACATGTCACAGCGACAATCAATATGGCTAATAGTTCGTATCTCTTGCATATTAGGGAATAAGTGGATGAACATTCTTGGAGTTCCTTTTGGCATAAGTTTGAGTTGAACGAAAGTTGAAATAGTGGACTGTATTGAACATTTGTATAAATGATTTTCAGTTACTGCGGTTTTGGGTGTCATTACTGCAATCAATGAGCACATAATTGATACGACTCCAAGAAGTCAGACACCTTCCGCAGCTGTGGAGCCTCGCTGTTTTCCTTATCCATTATGTTTATCCATGATAAAGGAATTGGAGACATTGGTGGAAGTTGCTGCACAACAGTACTTTGGGGATGATAAAAAATGGAACTTCATTGCTCTTACTGAAGCAACAAAGTAAGTAGGCTGCATTTCTCGGTTTAGTTTTCTGAACCATTTGAGTCTGGAAATTGTTATTCAATAACATGATAGTTTTCTGGCCCAGGGTGATAGTTAGGTTCGCATGGTATAGGCAAAGTGGATATAGGATGCTTTTACAAGGGGGAGAGACAGCAAATATTGAAAATTCGCCAAGTCCATCAAAGTCTGGGAATCATCACGAGCCTGACCATTTTCTGAATATGAATGGAAGAACCCAATGGAATACAGAAGGCAAGGCCTTGTCTGCATTGAGCAGATTTCGAGAAAATGCCAGGATGGTAGCTGACCCAGAGTGGTTACGTTGGGTTCAGCATCAACATCCTATCATGGAGCCTCCAGGTTAGTTTCTGTACATTATTATGGGCCCATGGAAAGATCGTTTTTCAGCCATTATAGCCTGTCTTTCCTAAGTTCGATTTGAACTGCGTTGCTTTTTTTTTTTTTTTTTTTTGAAAGAAAACTGCGTTGCTTTCTGTGACCTTTTTCTGTGCTCTTTTGCAGCTCCAGTGGTTCAGCGGACAACGCTCTCAAAGTTATTGAATAAAAGAGGTGTTTCTGGGGTATTATTTGTTCTAGGGGAGGCACTATTTATTACAAGACCTCTTATATATGTATTGTTAATCAGGAAATATGGTGTTCGTTCATGGGTTCCTTGGTTTCTTTCTCTCGCTGTTGACTTTGTTGGTGTAGGCTGTCTTACACCACTGTCAATATTGCGGTTTGGAGGAAGGGAGCAACAGAGTAATTTTACTGATGCTGAAGAGCATGAGGTCAGAATCTCTCTTTGTGTCATCTGAGACTTATACATGTGTGCCTGTGGCTCATCAACTTCTGATAGTGCTATTGTTGAATCAGCTAAGGAGAAGAAAACTGTTATGGGCACTTTACTTGATGAGAGATCCATTCTTTAGCACGTATACAAGGTACCCATTTTTCTTCAAATAGTTTGCAGTTGTGTGATTCTTGGATTACTAGTTCTATAATACTGTGTGATTGTTTATCATTTCCAGGGGAAAACTGGAAAGCACTGAGAAGATAATGGAGCCTGTACCTCTTGTCGGGATTCTGACAGGTGAGCTTAACTGTCCAATATAGTATTCTATCTGTCCATGGCCTTTCTGGCAGCAGAGCTAAAAAATTAACAATGGTTTACTTGTACTTGGACTGATTGCACATTGTAAATGTATCTGTATGTGTAGCAAAACTCGTTGAGCTTCTAGTTGGAGCCCAAACTCGATACACTTACATGTCCGGTTCATGATATCATTGAGATGAGCACATTCTGGAAGAAGTTGAATTTGTCGAAGAGGATAATTTGCGAGTGAAGTTTCGGAGCTTCTCTATATGTATATTCATCATGGATTGTTCTGCAAACGATAGTTTTGAATTTCAAGACAATATTGTTGTGGCTGGCGAGTTAACAAGAGCGGAAGTCTTGTGACCAAACTGAAACGATGGATGAATGCAGATGCAGCACAATCGCGACGAAATGGTTTGAGCTGAAGGGTCTTGCTTCGCTTGGAAGGTTTGAGAGTCCCATTTGATCTACAATTACCAAAGCCCCCCTGCCTCATAAGTCATAACAGAAGTCGGTGGCCATTGGCGGGACTCGGGAGATGATGAGAGAAAGTAAATTACTGTGTTTGGGAGAATAAAAGTGATTTTCAAATTATTGATGAGCAATCTACATATGGAGCTTTTCCCTGATCTACTTTTAACATGTAGATAGTCCATCAAAATCAAATAGCCCGTATAATATTTGTGAATTGATAGTCCACTTAAAATAGGAAATAAAATTATTTTGCTCTATCATCAGCAAGAAGTGTGAGGATTGTTTATTTATTTAAATCTTTGACCATCTTCAAATACTGTTACCCTCACACCATACTACTAGAGACATAGCCATGATTAAGCATTCGCCCGGGGTGGGGGCTAAAATATGTTGTCACATACTTAAAAAAAACAAAAATCAAATTACTTTGGGAAGATGTTTGACCCAAATCAGTGGCGGGGATTAGTGTAAAGCCTTGATGTGGACTTTCTCGTCTGATCTCCTCTCGAGTGGAAGAATCCTGAGGAGATTGGGGATCTATACTTCGACGCTCATGTTAGAATAGGATATATGATAATATATAGAGAAATGTAGAGAGAGATAGGGTTTAGAAAGAGAACCATAAGTGGGAAATGTGGGAAGGGAGAAAAGTCCCTTTGTTTGGAGGGCCTGGCCTCCTTATATAGGAGTCGGAGGCATCCAGTCGGTGGACGCCTCCGGGTGAATAAACACCCCGGTAAACTGGATGCCTCCCGTCGATGGACACCTCCCAATGATGGACGCCCCCGGGTGGACTGGATCCTAGAGTAGGCTTGGGCCCAACGTGAGACGCTTTGTGGTGGGCTTGGGTCCGTATTAGGCGGGTTAATACTAGACGCAACATTTTCCCCTTTGCTTCTTGTATTCTATAAGAATGGAAGGAGTAAAATAATGCGTCAAGGTGTATTAACTGGCCTTACTTGCGAGTTTGCCCCTTGTGCGACCATTGCTCGGTGATGGATGCCTCCGGGTGGACGAGACGCCTCCCGAAGATGGACGCCTCCGGGTGACAGGATGCCTCCTAGTGATGGATGCCCCTGAGCGAACTGGACCCTTGCGAGTCTGGACGATGCAGTTTGCCCCTTGTGCAGCCATCGTCTTTGCTTCTTCGTTTAGCATTCGATGTCTTGAGTTAGAGCTCTCAAGACGTTTGAGATTTCCCCACTAGCCCATTGTCGAGCGTGCTAATATGTAGGTCATAACTGTGAGCTCTATGCATTAAGCTGTTGGACCGCGAGATGGGCATGAGCTTGTGTGCATGTTAAGTGTGAGTTGTTGGCTGAATATCAGGCGTTCTCTATGTGCTAGGGAGGGCGACCCCCCACGACTTGAGAGTTGTGACTTAAGACGTCGTTTGTATCTTGGCGATGCCACTAGGGGTGGAAATCGGTACGGTATCGGTATCCCAATACCAATTATCGAAATTCCGAATACCGAATTACACCCTAAAGTCAATCCCAATCCCAATCCCTAAATAATTTCGATATCCCAATCACAATCCCTAAATATTTCGGTATCCCAATCGGTACTTAGGTATCCCAATTGGTATTGTCCAATACAAAATGAATTACCTTTGCAATTAATAATTAAATATATAAATTAGATTTTATTGTTTAATTTAGGGGGAAAAGACTAAGCAAAGTGTCTTGAATAATGATATTATTAAGGAGAATGGAGGAGATGATACATCTCAAGTTCTTGTCATTGGTAATCGTTAATTGGACGAATTGGAGGTTGAGAGACGACTATTAGTAGTGATAGAATGATCTATGTATAATTAAATGACACTCTTGGTGGTTTAGGGTCGTGTAGTAGTCAATGAGAGAGTCTAGTTGAGAGGATAAAATACACACTAGCTTATATTTCGGTATTGATCGGTATTTCGGTATATAGCGATCCTAATCCCGTAATCCCTAATACCGAATAACAATTGAAATTCAATCCCAATCCCAATCTCAAGAAATAATACGTGTATTCGGTAATACCAAATATAGACAAATTATGTATGGTATTTGGTATATCCCAAATACCGGTACCAAACTTCCAGCCCTAGATGCCACACCTATTGGGAGGCGGGATAGTGTTTCTAACTGTACCTATGTCGCGCCTACGGGGAAACGGGATCGGACTTCAAACAAGCGTGGAAGCATCACTCGAGGGTGGGGTGGATTTTTTTTCTTATAGGAGGTAGCTGCAGAGTGCTCTAAGTACTTAGAGTCGCATTCTGATTCATAAAGCGGTCTCGTAGCCCAATGGTATGCACTTCAGCTTGGACAAGACGGAAATAGGTTTTGAAACCCATGGGAAGCATTTACATCATATCCTTTTTAGTAAATGGAAACGCATTTGGTTGGACTGTCCGTCAACGTTGGGCTTTGCTTGAGGTTTTGGAAGCGAAACCGCATGCACAATCGCACACAGAGTGATGTTCGGGCTTGGCGTTGATTAAAGGCAAAGCGAGTCGGACTGGGGACTAGCCTGCATTGTGAAATGGGAAGCTTAAAGACAAGCCCTAGTTGTTGCGGACCAGACCCATGTATGTGGGCGCGATTCGAGGGCGGCCTGAATCTTTCGTGGGACGCGGGATGTGAATCGTTGAAGTAGCGACGCAATGTAGAGGTGAATAATCCGGAAGTGTGAAGCGGGCCAACGTTGGTGGAGCTGGTTGGATGTGAAGCGGGCTAACAGCTTTAGCGGGCCGTCGGAGGTGGTTGTGGGCCAGATGCAGTGAGCCGAGACAATGATTGTTCTTGGGCGTGTCTTGTGAGGCGATCTTATTGAAGGCGACTCACGATGATTGCCCTGGAGGCATGACAGGCTAAGACGGTCTTTGAATCTGGGCAGAGAATGGTGTTAGGCTGCGACGTCTGGGCCACGTTGTGGGCAGGGAGCCGCTTTTTAATTTGGATGCGGGGGCCGGAGGCAAACCTGCATAACTTAGTGACTGACAACTCGTTATGGGCTTAGGTCCGAAATTGTATTGGGGAATTTCGCTAGCTGGTTGAGAGAGTGGGTGCCCCTTGACCCTATTTGGAATATAGACAACCCTAGTTGGCGTCTACGCCTCCTTTGTCACTTTTTTTTTTTTAAATGCTTTCTTCTTCTCCTCTACAGCGGCAGCCTTTGAGGGCATTTTCTTCCGCTTTCCTCAAGATTCTAGTGTAACACCTGATATTTGGGTTTCGGTTCGACCATAAGAAATGAACGGTTGGATTGACGGTTACGTATAAAGGACTGCAATAGTGAATTGAAAATAATAATAATAATTATTATTATCATTAAACAAAAAAGGGAAAAGGGATAAAAATCCTTAATCCGTTCGGTTACACTCTCCCACCCGTTACACCCCTTCCTCTCTCTCTCTATGGACTTCCATCTCCTTGGAAAACCTATAACGTAAACCAAATACAAGGAGCTGCGACAGGTCTCCCAACTAGTCCCTCTCTCACCCTCAATCTCCATATTTCCAAGAGAGAAGTCTACACGAGTGCCGTTGTGATCCTTCTCCTTTCCTCTAGAGTCTAGCCTTACCCGAGAGATAAACAATGATGGTGACCGAGCGAGGCATAGCGGGACAACAAGGATGGATGGAACCAACCATACGAACGATGATGACAAGACGGAGTTGATGGCTATGACGAGCTCTTAGCGGATAGAGGGCCGCCGATGAGGATTTAATGAATCGACGGTTGAGGTAAGGGCTGAACCTCTGTAGGCCTTTATCGATTATGGTGTTGCTGGGTGAAACATAGATAATTAAAGTAATTAACAGGACAAGGTTGGTGAATAATCATTGGGCGATGTCTCTGAAGTTGGGATTGTACGTGTATATGTATAATATCAACAGTTGAAATTTATGGAATTATCACAGCATAACTATACGAGAGTGGGAGGCGCATTTGAGTTAGGCATTTTCAGACATCTTTGTTTATTGAGTGAGAAGGTTTATGAAAATTACATCTAATGATAACAGGAGATATTGAAATATCGTCACGATTCAAACCGGCGACATGGAGTGGATCGACAAGGTTTAGAGGAAGTTATCATCATCATCGTCAAGTTTAGTTTATTTGTTAATGTTTAGACTTTAGTATGAGTTGTTATGTTTGTTTTAAGTTTATTGTTCTCCAAAAACAAATTGGTACGATTTGTCTTGTAGTGCCAAGCTTGAGTATTTAAACCCAACTATGAAGGAGAAACAACTAAATTTCACTTCCCCAAATCCCATTTAGCAATCACCAACCAATCCACAAATCCATTCGCCAACCGTGTAGAAAAGCTCTGTGAGCTTAGGGTTTGTAGAAGAAGAATGAGGCGGTATCAATTTGGGTAAAACCCGCAAGGAGAAATGATCTCCTGCCTTTCATATATATAGCAGTAGCCAAGTAGAGTAAAACCTTACAGAACAGTAAAACCGGAAATGGAAGTTTAAATACAAAACTGAAATATGAAAATGAGCTGTAATCAATAGCCACTTGTCTTCCTTTTGTTGGCTCTTCCTGGCTCCACCCAACGGTAAACTTGAAGCTCCACGACACCGTTTTGCTCTTCGTTTAAGTCAGGTGGAAGGGAAGGCAGAAACGAAACGTTTCTGCCTTGGGGTTTCTTTGTCAAACATCAAACACTCTGTTCTTCTTCTTCTTCACTTCGAGCAGAGCAATCCTGCTGAACTGCAGGTCTTTAACCTTCATCTTCCAAGTCTGATACTCCCCCACAAGCTGGCGAGAAGGCATTGAATACTCCCAGCTTGTCTAACAAAAACTTCAGACGATATCGTGTGATCCCCTTGGTAAAAATATCAGCCACCTGATCATCTGTTCTGATGTGGCTCAGCTTGACTAACCCAGATTTCAGTCTCTCCCTTGTGACATGGCAGTCTATCTCTATATGTTTAGTTCGCTCATGAAATACTAGGTTCTCAGCGATGTGTAAAGCAGATTTATTGTCACAAAAGAGATTGATTGGAAGAGGTACCTGAACTCCCATCTCTAACAGAAGGTTTCTGAGCCATTGCACTTCACAGACCACCTGTGCCAATGCCCTGTACTCTGCTTCAGACGATGACCTTGAGACCGTTGTTTGTTTCTTGGTCTTCCAGGTGATCAAAGAAGTGCCCAGGAAAGTACAATATCCTGTCAAGGATCTTCTGGAATCAGGACAACTTGCCCAATCTGCATCACAGTAACCCTGCAAGACAAGACACTGGATTGATCTTGGCCACTGGAGAGTAGGTAACCCATAAATACTCAAGCTTGAGTATTTAAACCCAACTATGAAGGAGAAACTGAATTGATCTTGGCCACTGGAGAGTAGGTATCCAGAAAATCAATCCCATAAATCTGAGTGTAACCCTTGGCTACAACCCTAGACTTGAACCTTTCAATAGTCCCATCTGACTTGTATTTTATTTTGAACACCCATTTAGATCCTACTGCTTTCTTGCCCTTTGGCAGCTTGACTACTTCCCAAGTCTGGTTTTCTTCCAGGGCTGCCAGCTCCTCATTACATGCTTGGTTCCATCTAGGATCTTTGCAAGCTTCTGCATATGAAGAGGGTTCCTCATTTAGCATCACACTCATGGCAAAAGCTCTCTGGGAAGGAGACAGTTGCTCATAAGAGAAGTGCTGCCAGACATGATCTTTTGAACATGATGCTGCAATGTTAAAGTGATAATCCTTGTGCCAAGCAGGCACAGTCTTGTTCCTTGTGGACTTGCGAAGAAATGCAGCATCATCAGTATCATGAGGATCAGGAAACACTTCAATCTCAGCATCCTCCCCCCCAGAATGCAAACCAACCACATCAGGCAACAAAGAAGAAGAGGAAGTAGAAGGAGGAATGGGGGTGGTGGCATTCTGAGTAGGAGAAGAAGAAGAAGGTGAATTTGAGGAACTAGAAGGTGCAGAAGGAGGAGTGGAACTGGGAATATCATGGATAGGTGCAAGAGTAGGAATGATAGGGTCTGGAATGGATATTGAAGGTTGAGAATTAGGAGTGGAAAAGGGGAAAATGGTTTCATAGAAAGTGACATCACGGGAAACAGAGAAGGAATGGGAATTGATGTCATAAAGTTTAAAACCTTTTGTGCCTGATGGGAAACCAAGAAAAATACACTGCCTAGCCCTCCTGTCAAACTTGGTTCTGTCTCTGTGAAGTGTGGCAGCATAACACAGACACCCAAATACCTTTAAGTTAGCCAGGCTAGGAGGTCTGTCATATAAGCATTCATAAGGGGACTTGTTGTGAAGTACTGGAGAGGGAATTCTATTAATGAGAAACACAGCATGGAGGATGCAATCACTCCAGAACTGCAAAGGCACTCCTGATTGGAATCTGAGAGATCTGGCAACGTTGAGAATGTGTTGATGCTTGCGCTCAACTCTGGCATTCTGCTCAGGAGTCTCAACACATGACAACTGATGCTCAATTCCATTAGTTTTGTAAAAATCTGCCATATGGAACTCATTCCGCCATATGGAACTCATTCCCTTGATCACTTCTAACAACCTTAACATGCTTACTGAATTGTTTGGAAACCATCACACAAAAAGATTCCAATAAACCACTGGCTTCAGATTTGTATCTCATTAGGTAGGTCCAAACTCCTCTAGAAAAATCATCTACTATTGTAAGAAAGTAGGAATATCCCTCATGGGATTTAACAGCAAGAGGACCCCATATGTCCACATGAATAAGGGAAAAAGGTTCTGGTGCATGACTAGAACTAATAGGAAATGGCAGCCTTTTGTGTTTGGCAAAATGACAAGTTTGACAATGAAAAACAGAAGTCCTATTACAGGGTACTAAGAGTCTTTCTTTGTCTTTGTTTAGATGCCCTAGCCTCCAGTGCCATAGGTCAATAGTTTGAGGAGTGAAATTGTAAGTAGCTGCTGCCTGTGGTGTTTGAGGAGTTGAAGAAGTCTTGGAAGAGAGTTGGTAAAGCCCCTTAATCTGTTTTGCCAAACCAGTCCTGGTGTGGGTCATTAGGTCCTGAATTTGGCAAGAATCAGATTCAAAATGTAAGGCAATAGGTAGGTCATTTGTTAGCTTGCTAACAGAAATAAGGTTGAAAGAAAAACTAGGCACTAGGAGGACTTTCTCTAGAATGAGACCTGTAGGTAATTTGACTCTACCTACATGACTAACTGCCACTTTAGAACTAGTTGGTAAAAAGACATCCTGACCAACTACTGGGGTGGATTCAACAAACAGACTCAAGTCACAAGCAATATGGTCTGAAGCCCCAGTATCCAAAATCCATACTCCCAAAAGGGAATCTGACTTGTGTTGCAAGCATGAAGAGAGAACATACTTACCATCACAATTAGGGTAGTGAGGGATGTGCTGTGCCACAGAGAAAGCATGGTGATTGATGGATGGTGATGTAGGTGGAGAAGGGCTGCTCGATGAAGAGGGAACTGAGTGAAGCAGGAATTTGAGCTTGTTAAGCTCTTCTGAAGACAATCCAAAGCTGTTATTTGACTGACGAGTGTCAATGCTTAGCTTGGATTCTGAGGAAGCACTGTCACTGTCTGTAGAAGAGTCAGACTGTGAGACTGCTGCAGCAACGTTTCCCCCAGCCATTCTGGCCTTTTTGTTCTTCAGACGGTAGCACTCTTCAATAGTGTGGTTTTCTTGTTTGCAGTACCTACAGAACTTCTTCCCATCAGAACCAGAAGGTTTGTTCTGGCCCCCAGGTACACTAGATACTGCAAGTGCAACTGTCTGAACTCCCTTAGTTCCTCCACCTTTATCACCCTTAATCTTTTGCTCATGTTGGAGCAAGTCATTAACAGCAGCATCCACAGTGGGTAGTGGCTTCATCATGAGGAGTTGTGTATGAACTACCTCATATTCTGACCTCAGCCCTTTGAGAAATCGAATCAGATACTCCACTTCTTGTTTTGTTTAAAAGCTTCCACTGCTGCACAAGGACGAACTCTTGGCACTACACAATCACACTCTACAATTGGGTTGAATTGGAGATTCTCTTCCCACAATCCCTTAAAAGCAGTATAGTATTGAGTAATGTTCATGGAACCTTGTTTACAGGCAATAATTTGATCCTGCAAGTTTGCCAGTTTGATGGCATTAGGAAGACCAAATCTCCTCTTGAGCTCATCCCAGAGATCCTTAGCATTCTCATGCTGCATAACACTTCGACGAATTTCCTTCTCTACCGAGTTCAAGATCCAACACAGGACAATAGTATTGCAAGCATCCCACAACCCAAAATTAACATCATCCAGGCTAGGCATAGTAATAGATCCATCGATGAAACCAATTTTATGCTTCGTTTTCAAAGCCATTCGAATAGCACGCTGCCACATCTAATAGTTTGGTCCATCTAGGTTCTCAGAAACTATGGATTGAGAGATGTTTTCATTTGGGTTAATGTAAAACGGGTTACCAAATTGCAGATCTGAACGCCCTGTACCTCCGATGTTGTTTCCATTGTTGTTGCTCGTCGTTCCTGTTTGCGCATTTAAACTTCCAAAAGGAATTGGACCAGTACCACTCAATGGCGATCCACCTGGAGTTGCACTGCCACTCATTTTTGAAGAAATCTGGATCTTAGTCCAGCTCTGATACCATGTAGAAAAGCTCTGTGAGCTTAGGGTTTGTAGAAGAAGAATGAGGCGGTATCAATTTGGGTAAAACCCGCAAGGAGAAATGATCTCCTGCCTTTCATATATATAGCAGTAGCCAAGTAGAGTAAAACCTTACAGAACAGTAAAACCGGAAATGGAAGTTTAAATACAAAACTGAAATATGAAAATGAGCTGTAATCAATAGCCACTTGTCTTCCTTTTGTTGGCTCTTCCTGGCTCCACCCAACGGTAAACTTGAAGCTCCACGACACCGTTTTGCTCTTCGTTTAAGTCAGGTGGAAGGGAAGGCAGAAACGAAACGTTTCTACCTTGGGGTTTCTTTGTCAAACATCAAACACTCTGTTCTTCTTCTTCTTCACTTCGAGCAGAGCAATCCTGCAGAACTGCAGGTCTTTAACCTTCATCTTCCAAGTCTGATAAACCGCGCCGCTAATCAGCACCATCCTTTACCATCACTTCCCCAAAATTTCACACATCTGTTCAAGTCGCCGTCGCCGCAGCAGAAGCGGAATCACCATCACCTCTCACTAGTCAAAAGGAAAAGAAAACGGCAGCTGCCGAAGAACCCAAACAAAGGAACCCGCCGCCGGATCTGAAGTCGTCTCGGTCATAACCTGCCGTCGGGAAATCCACGACCAGCAACGTCGCCGTCGAGCGCCGTATGACCCATACCCCAGCAGTTCCGCCGCAGCAAAAGTGGCCGTCGACGCGAGCGCCGGTAGATCCTGCCGCTCAGCGAGCTCCAGCCGCGGTTCAGCTCTTCGTCGCGTCCGAATCATCACCGTCGAGGACCGGTAGATCAATCGTACTCAGCCCAGTCAAACCTTCACTCCGGCGACAACGAATGCTCCACCGACATCGACCTCCAAATCGTGGCGTCGACACAAACCCGACCTCTAGTTTCGAGAAGTTCAGGAGCCCAGTCGGCGGATCTGAATCGAGAAATTTCTTCGGCACTCCAAACCGGCGACTCATTTCTCTCCATCCGATCTCTTTGGCGTCGACAAAAGCAGGACTCCCTACCCGGCAGTTGTAGAGATGGAGACAGAGGAGGATGACCAGGGGCGGACCTAGGGCAAGGGGAGGGGTGTCGTCCGACACCCCTCCGCTCGAAAATTTTGTGAAGGACCTCCATTTTTTCGGTACAAAATTTTTTAATTTGGAACTTCCGACACCGCTCTAATAATTATAAGCGACACACTTTCATTATATGACAATAGTTTTAATGTTATAAAGTTATTCGTCATAATTAGTAATTAAGAATAATAAGTAAAATCAAATAAGCATGCTTGTTTTAAGTAACCCACAACCCAATTTAACTTATTGATTTGTAGTTAATAGGTGAATTGCCTATATTTATGGGAGATTGTGGTTTGATTTTGGTTAATTTGATAGAACTAGAGAAAAAATGCTAATGATATTACTTAGGTATACTTTGTTTTTTTCTAAAATAGCCGATTGGTAGCAAACTAATTTATTTTAATTTAATTTGATTTTAGACGTAGGTCGATTCTCTTTAGTTGAGTGACTAATTTATGAATGATTATGTAGTTGTGTATATCGAAAAAGGTTTGATTTGTAACATAAACGATGAATGTATTTTAAAAAAATCTCAAATATGAAAAACCGTCATAATTCGTAGTAAACATGAGGTTGTGAACTTATAAATAAATTTCCAGTAATTTCTATTAAATTTTTATTTCATTATCTTAATTATTATAATTTTTATCGGCGACACCCCTCTTCAATAATCCTGGGTCCGCCACTGAGGATGACAGTGTAGAAGTTTTTCACAGAGCTGAGAAATCAAAAACAGAGGAATCGGGTGCTGCTCTGTTCAAAGTCAAGTCCAGGTCTCCAGCAAACAACAATAACGTCAAAAGCAGTCGTCGTTCTAAGCTTGGTAAGGGTTATAAATTTGATGTTGGAATTTGTGATTGGAAAGTTGTGGTCACCAGCAGAAGCAGTTTGCGGTAGATGGTAACTAGGTTATTGGTGCTTGCAATCCAAACATAACAGTTGATGTTGAATTTGATGATCAGTTTCTCAATGTTGGTAATTTGGAGGAAGAAGTCACTTGGTTGAAAGATCATGTGATTGCAACCAAGAAGAATGAACAGTTTGTTAAGATTGCTTCTTTTGAAGAAGAAATCAAATATTTGAATGCTTATGTGTTGAATTTGATGACTATGTGGGAAGGAGCCGCCACTGTTACCTCCTACACAACAAGATTCTCAAGTTTCTAGTTCTGAGTTCATAGAAAATCAAGATTTAAGAAGAAAGAGAAGCTGCAAGTTCAGGGGCAGCACATTAAACAGCAGCCCGAGATTATGCAGCAGAGGAAGAAGCTTACTCCCCTGTTGAGTTTGAAGTCAAAATTATTATCTTTGGAATGCTAGCTAGCTCAAAACCAGCAGCAGCATATCATCATCAAATCAAAGCAGAGGGAAGTAGCACTACAAGAAACTTCGTTTCTGGGATGGAAAAATTCGTCGCAGAAGCCTTCTGCAACGAATTCTTCCGTCGCAAAAGTAAAAAACCCTTCGTCGCTTATAAAGCGTCGCAGAAAATTCCGCGACGAAAAAAACCGGTTCGTTGCAAAAAAAAAACCAAATTCGTCGCTGAAGGGCAATGATTTAGCAACGATCATTCGTCGCAAAATGATCATTTTGCGACGCCCATTGCACCGTTGCAGAAAATAAGGGAATTTTGCGACGGATAGTTCGTTGTAGAAAGATGGCCATTTTTTATAATTATTCACAATTTATTTTGGGTTAATTTTAGTATAGGTCACATTTTATATCCGGGTTAATTTCATTTAGGTCATAATTTATTTTTCGTTTCATGTTCTAGTTCCTTCGTCAACATCAAATCTGCACCTCATCAATGAAAAAATTCCATATTTGCTCAAAATACACTATCAATTCCTCATCCAAAATCCAGATCTGCAAGTCCTAATGCCAAACCTGCAAAATAATTAGAACAAAAATCAGATTTTGTAAATACAATAAAAAAACTAAAGAACTCTTTTGGGAAAACAATTTTATTCTGACAATTATCACTACACATCTATATAATAAATTACAAAAAATAGTAGATATGGTTTCTTTCTTTCGCTTTTCTCGTCGGAAGAGCAGATCTGGTTCATCCGCCGGCGGTTATAGCCGATTCACCACGGCCAGAGGCGAGACGTTGAACCATCGAGCTTCCTTCAACGCGGCTGGAGGAGATTTGAGATCCGTCGAGCTTCATTCACCGCCTTCAACTTCTGATGCCATTGGCAAACCCCATTTCTTATTCCCTCTTTTGAAAAGAAAACCCAGAATAAAAATGTCACAATCGCATTCTTGAGCCAGAAACCCTCAAGAAAAACAGACATGCATGCAAAATCTTACCCGGATCATCGCTTTTCCGATCAAGACGAGCCGATTTGCTGCTGTCAGATGCCAAAACCCATGCACTCTTTGATCTTCCTTCATCGCCATTGACACCCGAAGCACCGGCGACAGCTTTCATTATTTCTCCCACTGTATCTTTCTTCCATCGCCGCCGACGAGAAGAACACAGTCGGGCTATCAATTGGGGAAAATGTTTGGCTAAAAAATAGTATTGACCGAAATCATAAAATTCATCAAAGCACTTCAAATCCTTTGGTTAAAACCAATTCCAATTATCCTGGAAAATTCTTAGCTCCAAATATAAAATGTAAAATTATGTCCAAACATAAGCCTTATGATAGATAATTAAGTCCAAATATAAAATTTCATGAAGCATTATACAATGACTACAAAAGGTCTCATAAATTCTCGAACATTCTGCGACGACAGGCCATCGTCGCAGAAAGCTCCCAAACATTTTGCGACAACGGGCTATCGTTGCAAAAAATCTACATACATTCTACGACGATGGACGATCGTCGCAGAAAGTCTACATACATTCTGCAACGACGGGCCATCGTCGCAGAAAGTCTATATACATTATGCGACGATAGGCTATCGTCGCAGAAAGCTCTCTAACATTCTGCGATGACGGCTATCGCCTCAGAAAGTCTACAAACATTCTGCGACGATAGATAACCGTTGCAGAAAACTCCCGAACATTCTGCGACGACGGGCTACCGTCGCAGAAAGTGTACATACATTCTGCGACGACACACTACCGTCGCAAAAAGATTTCACACCATTTGCAACGAAAAAGTGAAATTCGTTGCAAATTGTACACTTTCTGCGACGAATTTTCTTGCGTCGCTGTAGAATTCGTCGCAGAAAGTGCAGTTTCTTGTAGTGTAGCCAATAGAGCACTCCCCTCTGATTTCAGATTTTTTTCCGGATGGAGTGCTAGCTAGCAAAGTCAGCAGCATATCCGGACCACTTTGAAGATCCATCTGAAGCAGAAAAGCTGAAGATGAGAAAGTTCAGCGAGCTAGCCATATTGCAGCGGCATTCTTGTTTGAAGAAGCAGAGGGAAGACGCCCAAAAGGGCTCCCCTGTTGAGTTTGAAGTAATTTTTTGGAATGCTAGTTTGCTCAAAAAGCAGCAGCATATCCTCATCTACTTGGAGAAGCAGAGGTAGGGATGGCAATCAAACCCATGGCCGTGGATACCTGACCGCCCCCGACCCAGTCAACGTGGGGAATCCCTGCTTTGACCGGGTTTGGGTAAAACCCGCAAAAAGTTTGTTGGGTATGGTGCGGGTATGGTTTTGGCCTCCCTCGCCCCATACCCATACCCTCCCCACCAAGAGAATTTATTCACATATAAAAAAATATTTGGATTAAATTGTAATCTATCAATGGTGATGAGGATAACTCGAGGAAATAAATAGTAGAAATGCAATTGAGTGACCACTTTAATCAAAATCTAATTCATTTCCCTCAATTCTCCTTTCACTCTTTCACTTCCCCCCTTGTCAACAAGATTATGTTAGTTAATTATTACTTAGTAGATGTATCAGAATCAGAATATAATAATTTGAAAAATATTATACTCTATATTATGTATCCATGGATGTTGTAGGATCATATACTTTGAACCATATTAAGAAAATGACTGTGTTTTGTTGACTTCGTGATATTATAGGTTTGTTTAGAGTTATAATTAAAACTTTTCTTGTAAGTTTTGGATATAGTAATGTTGGATGTACGGGTACGGGTATTACCCATGGGTACCCGAAACCCACGGGTATGGAGATGGGTTTACAAAACATTCCCCGCATGGGTATAGGGCGGGTATGGGCTTGGATATTTGAAGATGGGGATGGGGATGGTTTAGACAAACCCGCCCCAAACCCACCCCATTGCCATCCCTAAGCAGAGGGTAGTAGTCAAACAGTACTCTCCCTGCTGACTCAAACCAGCGACCATGAATGTCGAAGTGGATCGACAAGGTTTAGAGGAAGTTATCATCATCATCATCATCATCATCATCATCATCATCAAGTTTAGTTTATTGTCAATATTTAGACTTTAGTATGAGTTGTTATGTCTGTTTTATGTTTATTGTTCTCCAAAAGTAAGTTGGTACGATTTGCCTTGTAGTGCCAAGCTTGAGTATTTAACCCAACTATGAATGAGAAACAAGGCTTCTAGGGTTTCATTTTCCCCAACTCATCTTTGTTGTTAAATGACGTTGGGGGATATGGGAAGTGAAATTGAATTTGTGGGCCAATTGGGGAATGGATTGGTCACGTGAATGCAAGGAAGTGCATGAGATGATTGGGTGGCTCAATTAGCAGAGGGGAATTCGTGGATGGGGTTAAAGGGAAATAAAAAATAAATTGCTTAAGGATTTAGTAGAATTCTAGGATGCAAGTGAGCAGTATAATTGAACTTTGGCGGCGGGTATGATGTTTAGGCTTGGTGGTTTTGGAACCCGATGTATGTCGACAATCCAAGTGGTTAATTGATGACCTATGGTTATTCATAGCTTGAAGTGGTGCACACAATGCTCAAAGAATGATGAAAGTCGAGGTTGAATATGGTAAAGGAGGGAATTAAATGGACCAAGTCCATTGTCTTCTTGTGATTGGAACTAGCAATGCTCGTGTGGAAGCATAGCATCACGAGTGATCCCCGTTAAGGGTTCAACAATTAATTTCTAAGTGTAAAGTGGGCAATATCTCAGTCGTAGGTCTTTTATTTATGTCTTTGATTTCAAGTTATGCTAGTTAACTTTATGAGTATGCGCGATTTTGTGTGTAGGCATCCCACCGCCTACTTAAGGTGGAGGCACGCGTGTGCTATGTATGTATAGTTTTTGGTAACCGAACCCCCGGGCGGTTGGGCCACTACTGGACGCAGTAGATGGTCAGATCACTGCTTAACGGTGAGACGTAACGCAACAGTTGATCGAGTATGTTGGGGTCACTATTGGACGGCGAGACGTAGCGCAGTAGTTGACCGGGCATGGACTGTATGCCGAGACGTAACGCAGTGTCATTGCCGAGTTTGGGTATGGAATCGGACGGCGAGACCTAACGCGGTGGTTCTAGTGTTTTGTGTTTGAATTAAGCCTAGAAGTTGAAAATTTTTATGAGTTATTGAGGAATAAAGTAATAAGGATAGAAGTAAATAACTTCTATGAGACAAGAATAAGGGTAGAGATCTTTATTGGTTGTGTTGGAATAAGTCGTTAAGGACTAAAGCGAGAACGACTTTCGTCTAAGAAAAGAAACCCGCTAATAATGCGTTTAGTAAGGGTTTGCTTAAAGTAAGACCTTAGGAAGTAATGACGAGACTGACCCCTTCTCACTAAGCAGGTTGCGGAAGGGTTAGCCGAGGTGGATCACGAGAAGGAGCAAGGCGAGGCGAGCAACTGTACCAGCGTTGACGAGAAGTCAAGGAGCTCGCAAGGAGTTAGAGTAGAATAGTTTAATTACTTTGTTGCATGGTTAGGGGTATAAACTGGAGATTTTCTGTTAAGTATTTCGATTGTGATTGCTCAAGTGTTGGGGCTTTTCGTTTAAAATTCTTAAACACTGTCAGTTTGTTTATTTTCAAATTTGGTTTGGGTTGCTCCGGAGTAACCGATTTTCGATTTGAGTTATGGTTTTAGTTTCAAAAGGATCGGGACGTTTCATCTAGCCTTGAATCAAGATTTGCAGGCAACTTTTCTTCCTTGGGGTTGTTTGCATCCGCTTTGCGTCTTCTAGGGCTGGTAATCGGTTTTCCGGTTATCGATATAACCGGTAACCGAACCGGTAACCGGCGGTTACCGGTTATACCAATAACCGGAAAACCCGGTAGTCGAATGGTAAAATTGGTGCAGCGGTATACCGCCTCCCCACACGATAAATACCGTCGGTGGGACGGTTAACCGGATACCGTTTCGGACTGACTCAATGCAAAACGCAGCGCTTAGGGAGACAGAGGGTGAAACCAAAAAACCCTAAAATCCTAAACCTTCTGCCGTTCTGCGTCTCCATCGTCTCTCTCTCACAGCCTCACTCACACAGCCCAGCCGCCGCCCGCCGAGACCCGAGATTCCTGGAGAGGAGGAGACTTACCGCTTACGCATCGGCCGGCGGCCGCCATCGCCCATCGCCCATCCGCCGCCCCGCTCCGCCGCCTTCCACCCTTCCCTCTCCTGTTCTCCGACTCTGCAGACGGCCGAAGCTCTGCCCTCCCGCTCTTGCTGGACGCCTTCCTCTTCCCCAGTCGCCGACGCTTTGTAAGTCTCCTTCTCCTTCTCTTTCCTTCATCTTTCTTCTTCCCCCAGTCCCTACCCCTCCTGTATGAGAAGGTGTTTGTTCATTTTGGACTTTTGGTGCCTTGTGTTGGTGTCGAACAGAGGCCAGTGGGTAGAGGCAGAGCTACCGAGCTCCTGGAGGCTAATCAGAGCCCAGAGAACAGGACAGCAGGCAGAGTATCTCCCCGCAGTCCACAGCACTGCAGAACAAGAACTGAACAGCAGCAGCCAGCCAGCAGATTGAATAATTCGAAAAAATGTATGTGAAATTGTGAATGAATGTGATGTTTGGAAATTGGAGCTTTGAATTTGAGTATTTGACATTGCTTCGTAGGAATCAGGACTGAATGTTTAGTTTAGGTTGAATTTTTGGTTGATTTTTGGTTGGATTTTGACTTCTTATTCATGCTAATCAAATTAGTTAAATAGACAGTACGTAATCAGATAATCAACAGTATATATTTCTCTTTATGCACCTCTGGGTTGATAGAATTAGATTTCATTAAGACACATTGTGCAGGTGTAGATGTTGTGTGCTCTTTGTATTTGTGGTAGTGATGTATAGACTTCCTTGCTTGAAGATATTTGTTTCCTATGGAAGGCACTAGATATTGGTTCATCTCAGATTTTCTCTTCTCAAAATCATTGTCTCCGAATCGGTTCCGATGGATTAGTATGTCTTCGTTGTGTTAGTCTAGAATCCTGATTCCTCTATGAGCTTTATAGGTGCGTGAATTAGGAAGTTTGGCTTGGTATTGCATATACTTGATTCTTCATTTGACGGGGTGACAGATAGGTTATGAGATTTGATAACTAACCAAATCTTCACCAAAAACTACACCAGGGCAGAAATTGAAACCAGCAGCAGGAACACCCGAAAGCTTGCTGTTTTTCTATTATGATGTTTGAGTTGCTTTAAATAGATAGTGACGAATTTTTCTTTACTAAATCTGAAATGTTTATGCACTC